GGGGCGCGTGGGCGTGGATCATGGAGGTGCGGGCGATCTCCATGACCAGGCCTAAGCGGCGCTCAGCAACCCCATTCTGCTGTGGAGAGTCTGGAAGAGTCCAGGACTGGGTGATGCCCTGCTCAGCACAGGATCTGGCGAGAATGCCGGAGCGAAACTCACCCCCACGGTCGGAGTGAAGACAACTGACACGACAAACGCGAGTGCCCTCGGTGGCGAGGAGCCACCGGATCAGCGTAGAAGTCACGTCGGACTTCTTCGCCAAAGGAAACACGGTAGTGTACCGAGAGTAGTCGTCAACGACCACCAGAAAGAAACTCTCCCGCTGAGGGCCAAGACGGGGAGCGGGGCCCCAGACGTCTAAGTAGAGAGTCTGGAAGGGCTCGGTGGCCGGACGAAGGGAGGAGGAGTGAGGGGTGGCGCGCAGCCGACCCTGGACACAAGGACCGCACGGAGGAGCTGGGGACGGCGGGAGTGGCGGGAGGACTCGGGGGAGGCCTAAGACAAGACGCTGACTGGACATAGCGCGGAGACGAGGGAGGGAAGGGTGACCAAGGCGGTGGTGCCAGAGGAGGGAGGGGTGGGCAAGCGACCGACACGAGCACGAAGCAGCAACTACACCTGACACAGCAACCTGACTGGACCCGGCTACCTGGTGGGACGGGGGAACCTGACGGGGGTCGGTGCGGAGGGTGTACAGACCGGAGCCCGGCTCCTGGCGAAAAGTGGCCTAGGGGGCGTACGTGTCACCGTCCACACAGACTGCGGTGTCACCAGAAGGCTCAACCCAGACCCCGACGTGCTGTCTCGCCAGGGTGCCCACACCAACCAGGTTCCTAGAGAACGAAGGAACGTGGAGGCCAGTCAGGGAACCGGAAGGAGCAGCTGGGCACGGGAGTGTAGTGGCGTGAGTCGCAATGACCGGTCCCGAAGAGGGATCGGCCAGTGCTACAGGGACAGGCGCCGGTAGCGGAGAGAGAGTCGTGCAGTCGCGGAAGAAGCAGTGTGACGCTCCAGAGTCCAGTGTGAAGGAGAGAGAGGCGTCCGCCGAGGGAGAACCTGTACTAGTAGCTAAACAAGATCCTACACTAGCACCTACTCTAGCAACAGGCAAAGATCCAAAGCTAGGTACAGGCAAGTACACAGATCCATGAGCACTATAGTCAACATCAGCATACATGGCATATGACCTAGCATCATCCATCGTCATATAAAAAACAGCAATACCACGAGCAAGAAGCATCCCCCAGCGAGGCGGCGGGGGAGCGGAGGGGCCGTGGTGCAAGACGTAGAGGTCGTCGAGACGACTGAAGCAGCGTGCAGCAGAGTGGTCGGGGCGGCCACAGTACGAGTCCCGACGAGGACCCGTAAGGATCCAGTACTCACAGGGACCAACGTCGCGGCCGGCCGAGCGAGGTCCCCGACTGGAGGGGGGGCCACTGCGCCCAGTGCTCGGGGGACCCGCAGACCTCCACTGCTGCTGAGGGCCCCACTGCTGCGGAGGGCCCCACTGCTGCGGAGGGCCCCACTGCTGGGGCTGCTGCTGTGGCGGGCGCTGCTGCTGGCCCTGTCGCTGCTGCTGCTGTCCCTGCCGCTGCTGCTGTCCAGGCGGTGGCAGCTGCTGAGGAGTCGACTGCTGCTGCTGCTGGGACCCCTCACCACCAGTGAAAACTCCACCGTCGAAAGGAGGGCCGTCAGGTCCCGAGCCACCTCCACCACCACTCCCACCTCCTGCTCCACCGCCACCGCCACTACCCGCACCACCTCCAGTACCCCCGCCGCCCTTCCCGCCCCTCTTACCAGCCTTGCCACGTTTCTGCCCGCCAGAGACAGAAACAGCTGCCGTCTCCTCAGAGGCAGAAGACGTAGGGGTGGCAAGTGAGGCAGAGAAGGTGGGAAGCTGTGGTACCACACACCCCTCAAAAAGACGAGGAGGAGGCGCGGAAGAGGCAGAGGCAACAGTGAGGAGGTTGCTCTCGATCTTCGAGAGAGCAGTCTCAAGAAGATCGATGGTAAGCTCAGTGGGGTGCTTCAGAAGAAGCGCGTCGCGGGCTGTGGCTAGGCGGTCAGGGAGGCGAGTGACTAGCCAGTGAATAGTGAGCCACATAGGGGGTGGGGCAAGGGCAAGCTGGTCCTCAGTGCAAGCAGCGCGAAAGCGAGCATCAAGGGAGCGCAGGTGGGTAGCGAGGTCAGAGACAGTCTCAAAGGAGGCGAGGTCAGGGTAGATAAAGGGTACGAGGAGGCGACTGAGCGAAGCAGAGGAGGGAGTGGAGTAGCGAGCAATAATAGCCTTATACAGATCTGCAGCAGACTCGACCTGAGCGAAGTGGACTGCCTCTGTCGGCGGGAGAAGGTCGGTCAGGGCGAGGCAGGCAGCGGCGTCACGAGACTCCCACACGTCACGAGCGAGGAGCTGGCGCTGGTAGTCGGCCTCCTGCTCAGAAGTAGGCGGTGGGGTAGTGGGCAGCGGCCGAGGCTGGAGAGGGGCGGTCAGGGTGCCGGACGCGTGTGCGAACAGGTGCACGCCATCCTGCCGCTGGCTCTTAAGGTGGCGCTGCGCCTGCGTAAGCCACGTACTAAAGTCAATAGGTCTCCCCTCAGGGTCAAAACGAAGTACTCGGGAGGTCGCCATAGGGGGCGAAACTGAGAGAGCGCGGCTGCCAGCCGCGGGAGGGGGGAGACAGTCAGTAACGTGTGGGCAGGCGGGGAGGCATGCAGGTGGGTAGGTGGACGGCGCAGTGCGCTGGCTGGTGGGCGGCGCGGCGCGCTATGGGGCGTGCGGCGCGGCGTACTGGGTGGCGGGCGGCGCGGCGGGTCGACGGGCGGGCTGCGCAGCTGGTCGATGGACAGGCGACGCGGCGCGCGGGCCTACGGGCGGCGCGGCGGGTCGACGGGCGGGCTGCGCGGCGAGGCGACGGGCGGGCTAGGCGACGGGCGGGCCTACGGGCGTTATAGGCGACGGGCGGGCCTACGTGCGGGCGAGGCGACGGGCAGGCCTACGGGCGGGTGAGGCGACGGGCGGGCCTACGGCCGGGCTGCGCGGCTAGGCGACGCGACGCGCGGGCCTACGGGCAGCGCGACGCGCGGGCCTACGGGCGGGCCTACGGGCAGGCCTACGGGCAGCGCGACGTGCGGGCCTACGGAAGGTTGGCGCGGTGGCTAGGGGACGGGTCGCGCTGCAGGTCGCCGGCGGCGTGGCGCGCTAGGGGGCAGCTGGCTGGCTGGCTGGCTGGCGGCTTAGGACTCAGCGCGCTGGCGTGTCTGGCGAGCTAGGGAACTAACCTAGGGCCTAGGAGCGAGGAACCTAGCTGATACCATCTTAGAAAGTGGCTACAGCGGAATGAGTTGCATTGGTTGTTTGGGGTACAAGTACCTAACCCTAACTGTTTTTACCCCATATAGCATGACCCACTAAAGGCTATAACATTTGACACTTGCAGTCACTTTTCCTGGTTCAAGTTTCATGTCATGTCTTCCGGATTTTGCTTTGCATCTTCCCCTTGGCCAGTTGCACATGGAAAGCCAATGTGCATTTGCATGTTTTTGTTGGTATAATATATATTTGGATCTACCTCCTTTGAACGAACCAACCCTCTATAGACATCTACATCTCTTTAGCGGAGAGAATAGAGCACGCACAGTGCACTAGCTAGATCTAGAGCAACGGTGGGTGGTATTCTATAATGGATGACGAAATAAGGAAGATGAGATCAGAATCATCTTAGCGAAGTGAACACTAATCCTTCGGTAAAATCTCAGGGATCCGCGAAACCTCGGGTATTCATTTGCGGACTGAGGGCCAATCAACAGCGTCTGGGCTAGACATGTCACCCTTGAAACCTGCTGCTCAATCTGCGCTGGGAAATCCGAGCTGCTTTGGGCATGTCGTTCCATTCCATTTCCTCCAAACACGACGGCGAATGTCATTCTGTTCTGCTGCTTGACAATGGAGACTTGCTGGACCATTTCCAGCAAAGGAATATGATTCTAGGCTGGAAGGGCTAGGGGATTCCGTCGATCTTGCATTCTCGCGGTCAGTTCACCAGATATCTGTTCTCTGTGTGTCCCTGCCTATTTCGGCTAGGACCAGATCCTTCTGTAGCAAGAGGAATGGAAAACGGCGAAAAGCCTCGAATTAGCGTTGCGGAGAACCATGGTGGAGGCTGTCGCAAGTTGCTTGAAGGCGACTTTCTGATTCCGAACTCCGGCGACTTTCGCGTCGTGCTCCTCGAGAATGCCGTCGTCTGGCGCCGCACCAAGCCGTCGTCTGACAAGGTAGCACCAAAAATCTAGTCCGGCGTGAGATAAGGTAGCCGTCGTCTGACAAGGTAGCTTCATATCTAGTCAAGCGTAAGTTACATAGCCATCTCGTATAAAGCCTTCGTCCGGCGCCGTACCAAGCCGTCAATTGACAAGGTATCAGCTGATCGTGATATCATAGTCAGCCGTCATCACATAGTCATCTCGTTCCACGCCATCATTTGACACGGTAGCTGCTGAGGGTTTCCAAATCTAGTCAGGCGTCAGTTACATGGTCATCTCGTATGAGGAGTCATCGTCTGACGAAGCACAGGATCTAGACGTTGGACTGTCACCCTTCAGAAATTAGGCGTCGGAGCTGCACAGAATCTCACACCCAGCCTTCGTTTCCGGAGTGCGATCTGAAATGGGACTCGGTACGTCACAGTCAGCTGTCCCGTGTAAGTACTGCTAGTGGATACATTACGTCGGATTCACCCACGTTCGTTCATCGACCCAACGCTCGTGCCGTGGACGGCGAACGATCGCACCTAGCTGTACGCGAAATCATCCGCTATTTTCCAAACACTCCTCAGCTCGCTTCCGCGATCATCCCATTGGGATGATCTCTTTTCTTGCCTGTCTGGATTTTGGCTGTTGGCAAGGCGGGGAACCCGCAGAGAGAGGCGTCTAGAAGAGCGACAGATGTTATGTTTCCAGGCGCCTCAACAATTAGCCCTTTGAACCATGTCATCCGTTGCATGTCTTCCTGGGCCAGGCCGCACACGGCAAGGCGGGGAGCCCGCAGAGGGACGCGTATGGAATTGCGAGACGCGTTTTTCCTCAGGCGCCTCAACCTGTCTCAACCGTGTCGTCCGTTGCCTGTCTTCCTGGGCCAGGCCGCACACGGCAAGGCGGGAAGCCTTGTGAGTCGACTCAAAAGAAGTAACCTTCAACTCTACGCAATAATCCCCTTGAACCGTGTCTTCCGTTTCCTGTCTTCCTGCGCCAGGCCGCGCAAGGCAAGGCCGGAAGCCCACAGAGGGAGGCGTCTGGAAGGGCGAAACGCGTATCCATGGCGGAGATCTACGCCGTGGAGAGATTGGATGAGGCCGTGGTGAAAGGGAGCCTCTTAGGGCCAGCAGTTAGAGTGAGTTATAGATTGTTCTCAAGATCGTTCCTTGTATGTTCCGATTGGTGTTTATCATTGGGCCATGACAGGCCAACCGTCCTTCTCCCTTTTCCCGTGCCATACCTTTGAGGCGAATACCTTCTGATATTCCTTCTCTCCCTCGTTCCCCATTTTTTTCTCACAACTGCAGCTGCATCGCATGGTCATCCTACTTTCTTTTTTTTAGGCACCTCAAAACAGACTTTCTCCCTCCACCATTTCCCGTTATTTCTCATATCTGCAGCTGCATCGCTTCGCCATCCATACATTCCGAAAGGCTGCCGACAGGTGGACGCCCGTGCAGCTCGTGCTGAGTCATGCCGATGTCAGCGTGTGTCAGCAGTGGGTCGATTCCATCCAATCACTTCTCAGGGCGGACCCTGAACGGCCCCGGAACCTGCTGGTGCGGTGACAATGGGTCATGAAGAGGTGAACATGGGTGCTGAAAAGGTGAACATGGGTGCTGGAGTGATGATGATGTCTGGTGGTGAGGCTATATGAGGTGAGGTGCTTGTCTTGTCTTGTCCTTTATCGACTTAGCCTGTTCTGCCTGAATGCAAGATACCTTGTTTCACTTCCACCTGATCTGACATCTCCCTTCGTTGATCAATCTTCGTTCCAAATCCTGACATGCGTTCATCAACTTCAACAGTCGACCACTGCAGGGCGCTAACACATGAGCAGTTATGGAATGGTTTTCTTAGCGCCTCTACCCCGTCCCTTTCCTCGTATGAAACTTCTGGTTGTTCTTTCTCCCCCTCGCACCCTCCAGGCGTTCATCAACCCCCTTGGCGGCCACCGCAAGGCGCTCAAGACGTGGGCAGTGGTCAGTGTTGGAGGATCTCACCCCACTTCCCTACTTTCCCATTTTTTCTCCTCGTCTTTTCTCTCCGCCTCGCACTGTCAGGCCTTCATCAACCCCATCGGTGGCCACCGCAAGGCGCTCAAGACGTGGGCAGCAGCGAAGCCCGTGTTTGATCGGGCGGGAGTGGCGGTTACCGAGGTGGTCACACAGCGACAGAACCACGCCTTTGATGCCGTGTATGGGGCGAGTGATGAGGAGATCTCAGCCGTTGATGGCATTCTGGTTGTGGTGAGTCATTGGATGGGGATGGGTGGATGGGTGAACGGTTGGTGGGTGGATGGATGGATGGATGGATGGATGGATGATGGATGGATGATGGATGGATGGATGGATGGATGGATGGATGGATGGATGGATGGATGGATGGATGGATGGATGGATGGATGGATGGATGGATGGATGGATGGATGGATGGATGGATGGATGGATGGGTGGATGGATGGATGGGTGGGTGGGTGGGTGGAAGGACGGACGGACGGTCGGGAGGACGAATGGACGGACTTCAATACGATCCGGTGCACTCCAATATGTCTAAACAGTCTCCGTTCTCCTCCCGCCCGGCCCACTCCCAACAGGGAGGGGACGGCTTGTTCAACGAGGTGCTGAACGGGCTGGCCAAGAGACTTTTTAGAGATGGAATCAATGGACTTTCGATACGACCCCACACACTCCTCTAAGTATACACCATTCGTCTCCACCCTTCACCACTCCCGTCCCAACAGGGAGGGGACGGACTGTTCAACGAGGTGCTGAACGGGCTGGCCAAGAGGCGACACCACGCCCCCCCCTGCATCCACCCCTCCCGCCTCTCCTCTGCATGCCTCTCCCTCCCTCCCTCCTCCCCTCTCTCTTCCACACCACCCCCACTCGCCTCTTCTGAGTCGCCTGCTGGACTTTCCTCTGCTACCCCCTCTTCTGTCAAGTCATCTCCACCCACTTCCGCGTCTCACTCTCTCACCTCTCTGTCTCCCTTTCGGTTGCTCGCTCGCCCCTTGCGCCTCTCCTTTTCCTCCTCCTCCTCGCCTCAAAAACTTGGCGCATCAGCAGCAGCAGCAGCAGTAGCAGGGGCAGAAACAGAGAATCGGCAAGGCAGGACCAATAGCAGTCTGGTCAAACGGGTGCTGCTGGAAGAGTCTAGCTATGAAGCACTGCCACGTGGTTTGGTTGGTTATGCTGGTGGCGCCGCTGCTGCTGCTCCTGTTGCTGCTGTTGCTGCTGCTGACAATGCGGCTGCTGCAGCAAATGAGGGTCTGTTTGCAAATCTGGGAGCAAGGAGTGACGGAGGGCAGAGCAGCGAGGAGGATGGAGACAGGGAAGAAGCAAGGGGGTGTGGGAATGCAGTGGAAGCAACAATGCAGTCAGAGAAACAGTTAGGGGCACAGTCAGAGAAACAGTTAGGGGCACAGTCAGGGGCACAGTCAGGGAAACAGTTAGGGGCACAGTCAGGGGCACAGTCAGGGAAACAGTTAGGGGCACAGTCAGGGGCACAGTCAGGGAAACAGTTAGGGGCACAGTCAGGGGCACAGTCAGGGAAACAGTTAGGGGCACAGTCAGGGGCACAGTCAGGGAAACAGTTAGGGGCACAGTCAGGGACACAGTCAGGGACAGCTGAGTGTGCCCCTGACTGTGCCCCCTCGAACGTGGGGCTTCAGCTGCCACACGCTCTGCGCATTGGCATCATCCCTGCTGGGTCTACAGATTGTATTATCATGAGGTACGGATGGCACTATTTCGAGGTATGACATCGCTCTATTATAGTGTGGGAATTGCACGTATGAGGTTGCATGATCATGTGTTATGCCTAGTGAGTTTGCACACTTCATGTCATTTGCATTTGAGCGTGTCATTAGGGTGCGTGAGTCTCCCTTTGTGCATTTGCATTCACTTTCCGTACTCCAAAACCAGTCTTCACCCTCTTCCCAACCCCAGTGTGACAGGCTCTCGAGACCCCACCACCGCAGCTCTGCATGTGGTTCTGGGGCACCGCATGCCACTGGACGTGGCGAGAATCACCACGTGGAAGGAAGAGGAGCGGCCAGGGAAGCAAGGCGAGCAATCAGATGAGGAAAAAGAGGAGGGGGGGAAGGCAGAGAGAGGTGGAGATATTGCGGGCAGTGGAGGCAGGGAGGACAAGGGAGCAGGAGAAGCGGAGCATGTGAGAGAGGGGTTTGCGGGTGGAGATGGAAGAGAGAAGGCTGGGGGAGCTGGGAGCGAAACGGAAGGGGCTAAGGCAAAGACAGAAGAAGAGGAGGAGGACGAGGGTGTGGAGGTCCGCTATGCTGCGTCCTTTTTTGGGTGCGTGCATGTGGTGTGATGTGGTTGAGTTCAGAGCACTTCACACCCAAGAAGAGCCTTCAGAGCGTAGCCTATTCTGTAGTCACTTGTTGCTGCTAGCCCAGTTTAGTGCTCCTATCTTCTTCCACTTTGCCTTTTTCCTCCTTGTCTTCTTCTGCTTCTGATTCTCTTCCTGTTCCCCCACTCAGATATGGGTTTTACGGCGATGTGATTCGCCGCAGCGAGGGGCTCAGGTGGATGGGGCCAGCGCGGTACGACTATGCTGGGCTCATGACGTACCTGCACCACAGGTGGGTGCACTGCGGTGAAGCGCGGTCCAGAGGGATGTAGGTGTCAATATGCTAAACATGTGACAACATGCTACCTGCAATGCAATGCGTTTTCATTAGAGTAATCAGATCATTGGGACCAACAAGATACGACTATGCTGGTCTCATGACGTACCTGCACCACAGGTGAGTGCACTGCGGTGAAGTGCGGTGTAGTGGGATGGAATGTGGCTGAACATTTAAAAATGAGGTGTGTGGTTGCGAGGTAAGCAATGCAAGTCAATCCAACTCTGCCTATGTCCTCCCTGTTTGTCCACATTCAGCCTCCTCGGCCCATATGTGCATATCCCATCCCCCCTGCTTATCCTCCTCCTCTGCCTACCTCATCCCTTCCTTTGTCTCTTCCTCCTCTTCTTATCTTATCGCATCCCTTCCTCTTCCCATCCCCGTTCTGCCTATTCCATCCCATCCACCCAACATCAGATCGTACGATGCTGCGGTTTCCTCCTTGGACCCATCATCAGCACTCCTCTGCTTAACCAACCTCAGCAACGCCGCCCAATCAAGACTCAACAGCACAAGCAGGGTGCACGGAGGCTTACCCCTCTACCTACCCCGTCTCGCCCACCCACCATCAGGTCGTACGATGCTGAGGTGTCCTACTCTGACGTGCACTCCTCGGCCTATCTTCCCTTGCTTATCCCATCCCACTCCTTCTCTTTCCCATCCCACCTCTGCCTATTCCATCCCACCCACCATCAGATCGTACGATGCTGTGGTTTCCTACTTTGACGTGCACTCCTCTGCTGGGCCACCCCCAAGACCTGCAATCCAAGCGTCCCCTGTCCAAGCAGCAGGGTTGGAAGCATCTCCATCCACTGCAGCAGAGTCGGACGCATCTGCAGTCCAAGCAGCAGCAACGTTGGGAGGATCCCCATCCCAGGGCGTTCTCGCGCCCCCACTGCTGGCAGCAGCATCACCACTGGAAGCGGGGCCGGTGAGGGGTTTAGAGAGGAGCTTCACTGATCAGCTCCCTAGAACGCATGGTCTGGATGATGATGACGAGGAGGACGAGGAGGAGGTTGGGGAGGTGGAGGACGGGGAGGAGAAGGTGGGAGAGGAGGTGGTGGAGGAGGACGGAGGGGTGGGAGGAGAAGGGAAAGGAGAGGTTGAAGGGGGTGGAGAGGGGAAGGTATTGGGTGGAGGGGACGGAGAGGGGAAGGGAGAGGGGGAAGGGATGCCACTGCAGGCTGTGGAGTGGAACGGAAGGCTGCGGCGGCGCACCTTCAGCAGCCCCATGCTGGTGAAGACACGGTGAGAGGGCGAGGGCGTAGGTGAGAGGGCGAGGGCGTAGGTGAGAGGGCGAGGGCGTAGGTGAGAGGGCGAGGGCGAGCAAGTGAGTGCCTTTGAGGTGCCTCAAAAGGCTGCGGCGGCGCACCTTCAGCAGCCCCATGCTGGTGAAGACACGGTGAGAGGGAGAGAGATGAAAGCTGGAAAGATGAGGTGCAGAAACGGCGGATAAACACCATTACTGGAGGGCAGGCACCTTCTTAGGTGTGTTACTGGAGGTGCCTGCCTAGGTGTGTTACTGGAGGCGCCTGCCTAGGTGTGTTTTTTCAAGTGTCAACAATGAGTGAAAGGCTGCTTCACTGGGCTTTAAAGTGTGTGGTCTTGGACCAACAGCAGTGATCAATCCTGACTCATACGTTTCCTGTCTTTTCTTCCTTGTGCCTTTTCTTCCTGCATGGCTTCTATGTGCAGCACCACCAGCACAAGCAGCAGGCGCGGTATCAGCAGCATGAGGCGCAGCAGATTCCCAGACTTGTGCACTGCGGGATGCTCTGTGTGCGCCAGCAGCACTGACCTCTCCCAGCTTGCGAACGATTCAATCACAAACCTTCCCATTCTTTCTTCCTTGTGCTTCATGTGTGACCCCTATGTTCAGTACCGGCACAAGCAGCAGCAGCATCAGACGCGGCAGCATGAGGCGCAGCAGCTTCCCAGATGTGTGCACTGCGGGATGCACTGTGTGCGCCAGCAGCACTGACCTCTCCCAACTCGCACGCTCCTCCCACAGCCTCCTCACACTCGACACCTCATCACTCGACCCGGCCCAGATCTCTCACAGTCAATCGGGTGCTGCCACGTCAGCACCTGTGGGTGTAGCTGAGCAAGAGGGGTTATTGCAGAAAGGAGGGCAGAGTGGAGAGGGTGTGTGTGCAGTGGGGGGGATGGAGAAGCAGAGTGAGGGGCTGAGGCCCTGTTGGAGGACGGTGCGAGGAAAGTTCCACAGCGTGGGGGCGGCAGTGATGTCGTGTCGAAACGACAAGGCGCCAGATGGCGTCGCGGCACAGGCCCACCTGGCGGACGGCAATCTGCATCTCATCCTCATCCGCAAGTGCTCGCGCCCCGAGTACCTCCAGTAAGCTTGCACGGTTGTTTTCTCTCTCTTTATCGGCGATATTTGAAGGCGCCGTGTTGATGCTGCTTATGTCTAAGTCTGCCTGCGTTTACCTTTTATCTCCGTGTCTTGCTCCTCCCACCTCCCATGGCTCATTTCCCCAATGGCAGTCAGCTGACTCGCCTAGCCCGCAAAGGGGCCGACCCATTCGCCTTTGAATTTGTGGAGACATACAAGGTACGATGAACTGTTTCGTTTGCAAGCAGCTTTTTTCTAATGAATGAGGGCAAAATCTTCCTACTTGTCCTCCAAGTTCCATTCCATCGCTCGCACCTTATCACATTCTTTCCCCTTCCGTCCAATTCCAACCCTGCCCTCTCCCGTTCATCCCTCTGTCCGTACCCTATATGTTATTGTAACTAGACCCCCGCCTTCATGTTCACATCTCACGGAAAGCAAAGCACGTGGAACGTGGATGGGGAGTTGGTGGTCGCCTCGCAACTCTCTGCTCAAGTCTTTCGCGGATTAGTCGACATATTTGCATCTGGACCCGAGTTTTGACTTGGCTACGTAATGAATAGAACGATGTATATAGCTTCTCACGCTTGATAGGGCTATAAATGATTTCACAGTAACGTCTATCTTTCATATGCACTTAGTGGTATGTTAAATTTCAGGCACTCCATTTTTTACAATGTGCAACAAATTGTACCGAATCTCCCAGTTCCGCCAACTTCTAGGGCTGCTTGGGATTGTCATCAGAGTTGAGAGAATTACTGTAGAGCCTGGTTCGGTGATTCATCCTTACTCGCGTGGCCTCGAATTACTCGAGTGGCCACCAAATTTGGTGATAATTACTCGAGTGGCCACGCCAGGGGATTCCCGCTGGTTTTTTTTTACCCGGTGCATTACCCTACAAGGGTTTGTATCCCCGAAACCTCTGTACTGATTAATGCGCGATCTTCAATATCCGAAATATATGATCGTGACCCCATATGACCGCGCCTGATTGGGCGCGCATTGCAAAACAAAGCACCGCGCATGTAATCGACCAATCATGCGCGGTCATTTATTGTCCCGCGCATTGACGCCCGGGCATTGCAGTTTATGATCGCTGATCGGGTATTAATATATGATGTGCCCGACCATTAAGGCAGGTTGCGACCCACACGGATTGGGTCGACCACCTCCCGACCCATCACTTCTAGGAAGGCTGCATCGCGGGTCTAGCCGACCATGTCGAGCCAACCAGACCCGTTTGGGTCTGCCTGACCTGGATCGACCAGGTCGGCTCAACCAGGCCAACCAGACCCAACCAATCGAGCTGGAGAAGGTTACCATAGTCTGCGCACTTCAGAGTTCTCGCGCAAATGTCGCCTCAAATTCGTCGCACAGAATGATACCCTGTAATATCGACGCAAATTTTCCAGCTCACCATCGCCCCGCCCGGCAACTGCTTTCTTGGTCCCTCGAGGATGCACGGGAATCGACGGGAAATTCGGTGATTTCCCGAGTCCGTTTCCGAAGATCTGGTCGGGTTGGGTTTAGCCGACCAGGTCGAGCCGACCCAACCCAATCTCTTGGGGTCGCAACACGTCGTTAATGACTGCGCATGATTGGTCGACTATTTGCGCGTCCAATCAGGCGCGGTCATATAGAGTCACGAACATAAATTTTGAATATAAATCATCATACGAAAACATCCATTATAAATCATCACGTAAATTGAAAATCGCGCAATTATCAATACAGAGGTTTCGGGGATACGAACCCTTGTAGGGTAATGCGCTGGGGAAAAAAAAGCCAGCGGGAATCCCCTGGCGTGGCCACTCTAGTAATTATCACCAAATTTTGTGGCCACTCGAGTAATTCGAGGCCACGCGAGTAAGGATGAATCACCGATCCAGGTTCTACAGTAATTCTCTCCATCAGAGTTCCCTGACAATCCCAAGGAGCCCAAGGATCATGATCCACAGATATATCATGATTCCATACTCCCCAATACAACCACTTCCTCCACCATTCCTTCTCACTAGTCAATCCCCTAGTCTTAGTCCTTGCTTTTTCTGACGTTCGCGTTCCCGCGACTAGACGCTCGCATACTGGCGATTGGACACTTGGAGAATTGGCGATTAGGCGTTTTGCCAAGCGTTGAGACATATTGCAGATCGGTAATAAAGTATCGCAGAAGCGCGAGCGTTCATTCGCTGCAATGTCGACGACCTACGACGAGCTCGTATCGGCACGGTCTAAATTCGAGGAGCTTATATCGAACATCCTCTTAACAAAGCAGAAACAGATTAAAGCGCTTGAAAGCGATGAGGGTAACGAGACAGCTAACAACGAGACGGCTTCCGCCGCTCTCGCCGACATTCAGGAGTTTTCAACAGAGGCTTCTGTGATCCTCCTGGATCTTCGCCGTCTCAACCGTCAGATCTTAAACGACGAGGAACGCGTTAAATCGGAGACCGAAGCGGCGCGAGCTCCTGTAGACACGACCGCGCTCCGGCTGCACAATCTTCAATACAAGATGAACCACCACGCGAGATCGATCGCCGCGTATAGGGATTTCGTTTCGCGGCATCCGGACATTGAGCTCGTGAGCGCGCACGACTTCTTTATGGATGCACCGGAGAGCCTTAAATCGGAGCCGGGGTTGGAAAAGGATCCGCACCGGCTGATGCTGCAACGACTCAACTACGAGCTCCATCAGGTACGTTTCAATTTACCGGGTATGCTGGACTTAAAGTAAGGTCCAACCCTTATTGGTACGCTAGCGACAGCTGCGAGTTTATACTACGTTCGACGGAGTCGATCCAGCGACGAAATATCTAACCCTGATCGTTTCGAGCGCCCTTCTATTCTTTGTGTACCCCCAAATTTGCGGAACGAATTGGTTGGCTTGCAACAATTGCTCGGACTTCACTAGATTTTATGCGATCCGTATTCAGTACTCTCTTTTTCGAATGCGAATACCACCATTCTGCGTTTTTTCCTCCTAATCCAGCGGAAGGAGCTGGTTCGCGCGCGGGAGATGCTTGAAATCCGCCGGCGGACGCTCCAGGAGAGCATCAGCAGCCGGAAAAAGTTTCTGGGCAGCCTCCCCGGGCAGCTGAAAGCCTTGAAGAAAGCATCCGGTCCGCTCCAGCAGCAAATGGGGATGCAGCACTCGCGGCGGGTGAAGCAACACCGCTTAGCGTCCCTCCTCCCTCCGCCTCTCTACGTTTTGTACTCGCAATTAGCTGCTCGGAGGGACTCGTTAGAAGAAGCGATAGAGGTAGAGATCGAAGGGAGCGTTAGAGAAGCTGAAGCGTTTGCTGCTATGGTGGAAGAGAGGGAGGCAGCAGCGGCTGCCGCTGCCTCTGCTGCTGCAGCAAGGGGAGGGGGTGAGGAGGGTCAGATGGGGGAGGAAGAAGAGGGGGAGGAGGGAGAAGCGGAGAGAGAGCGGGAGGAGGAGGAGGAGGAAGGGTTGAGGAGGAGGCGACGAAAGTCGGATACTGAAAACGACGGTGCAGGAGCTGCTGTTGCTGCTGCCGCTGATGGTGGTGGTGGTGATGGGAATGGTGATGGGGGTGGTAACGACGATGGTAACGGTGCTGCTGATGGTGCTGGCGCTGACGCTGCTGTTGCTGACGGTAACGGTGGCAGCGGTAGTGGTGGCGGTGTTGCTGATGGTTTGGGTACCATGGGCACTGCTATGGTGGTCAGTGACGGGGGAGCGAAGCAGGCGCAAGTGAATGCGGGGATCTCCGCAGCTGACTTGATCGGCGCTGTGGATTCCCCCCATCCGCTGGCGGTGGTGCTCCGCCTGCTGGACGCGCGGGGGAGGGCGGAGCGGGGGAACGCGGAGGCTGTCGGGCAGGGCGGGGAGCGCGGGGCGGAGGAGGAGGAGAAGGTAGAGAAGGAAAAGGAGAAGGAGAAGGAGAAGGAGAAAGGGAAAGAGAGGGAAAAGAGCAAGGCAAGGGACAAAGAAGACGGCCAACAGCCCGCGCTGCTAGTGCTCCGCTTCGAAATGCTCTGGAACCTCGGGATCATCTGCGTAGGCCCCGTCGAATCCCAATCCCCGCCCCTCCTCCCCTCCTCCTCCTCTTTCTCCTTCTTCCCCACCCCTCCCACACCCACCCTCCCCCCGTCCCCTCTCTCCCTCCACACTCTCCTCACTAATATTTTCCCAGAGGACTCAGGCCTTCTATTCCCGAATATGGCAAAGGAGCCGTTAGCACGGGAGAGTGGGTTCGTGGCGGCTCTCTCTACACGCGTCTCCCGCCCGTACTACTGGGCTCAGCTCATGTGTGGGCTAGATTTTCTCCCGCCCCTCCCTCCTTCCTTCCTGCTGCCCCCCGGCTCTTCTGCTGCTGCTGGTGCGGCTGACGGTGCTGCCACCGCTGCTAGTGCTGCTGCTGCTGCCTCTGCCGCTGCTGCTATGGAGGTCGAACCTTCTGCTGCCACATCGTCTGGTGCTGCTGCGCCTCCTGCTGCTCCATCTACTGCGGCTGCTGCAGGAGCGGCAGTGGCAGTGGCGAGAGAGGGAGGGGCAGCGGAGGCAGGGCCGGGGGGAGCACGGGCACAGCTGCTGGAGCGGCTAGAAGCGTTCAGGGAGGAGCGGCGGCTGGGGCGAGTGCTGCAGGCGATGAGGGAGCGAGTGACGGCTGCGAGAGAGCTCAAGTGAGTCATGTGAGTGCCTGGAGGGGAACGGAGAAATGATGAACGGACGGCTGTGATTGCCTGGTTGGATGAACGGACAGCTATGTTGAGTGCTTTGGGGTGGGGAGATGAGCAGAGGCCTGTGAGTGCTGCAGGCGATGAGGGAGCGAGAGACGGCCGTGAGAGAGCTCAAGTGAGTCATGTGAGTGCCTGCCTAGGGGGGTGGGATGATGAGCGGACGGCTATGCTGAGTTCCTGGGGGGATGACCAGAGGGACTGAACGACTTGGGGGGGTGCCTCGAGGCTTGTGAGTGCAAGGATGTTGTTTTCATGTTATTCAGTGTTGAAGTCCTTGAAGTGTCATAGTGGCAGCACTTTCCC